CTTCTAAAATTATAGAAAAAATTATTAAAACTAAAAAACATATATATATATATATTAAAAAAGAACACTGAGATAAAATGATCACTGAACATTGGTCTGTGACACAATTGCTGTTTATCTCTTTTTGTCAGCCTAATTTAAAACAATTTATCCTAAAATCCACTTCTCAAACTCTAAAAACGTTTGTTTGATTTCTCTATTGACTTTGGAAAGTCATTAAAATCTACACATAAATGCCATTTGAAATTTAGTGGAAATAGATGTGACTTTCATATAACAAAAATAAATCTAAAAGTTAAAATCTTAATAAAAATGTAATAAAAATCAACCCTATAAAATTGTAGTTGTGTTGATCAACTTTAAGGCCTGGTTTCACAGACAGGGCTTAGACTAAGCCAGGACTAGGCAATAGTTCAATTAGGACATTTAAGTAATTTTTTATTAACATGCCTTAGAAAAAACTTTACTGGTGTGCATCTTGAGACAAATCAAAGGCACTGATGTATTTTAAGATCAGTCAGTGCAAGTTTCTTTCAGTTGAAACAGCTCATATTTACATTTTAGTCTGGGACTAGGCTTAAACCTTGTTTGTGAAACCGGGGGTAAATGAGAAGGGAGCTTTTTTTTTTTTTTAGAATGTATTTAGAAATGTATAAATCATAGGTCATTGTTTTCAGCTGTGTTGTATTATTATTAGGATATGTTGTTGGGAAACATTTGCCCACCTATAGCATACACAAAGCAAAGCTTTCAGAGTTATTGCTTACCCGTGCATGCTTAATGTCTATCTGTTTTTTGTTTAGTGTTTGTGAGTTCAGTGTTTTAGGCCTGCCAGGGGCACAAAGTGGGTCACAACATTATCCACTGTGTCATTACTCCCTATGGAACAAACAGAGAGGAAGAGAGGGATCGAGTGAGCCCAGAGGAAGAGAAGGGATGAGAGGCCGTGAGAAAGAGTGAGGTCATGCTCTGTGCCAGGCTTACTTAAATTAAACATGACTTAGGAATATATAATAAAATGAATAGTTTATTAATTAAGAATTTAAACATTGACTAAATCTATACTGTAGTCTTTAATGTAGTTGTTGTTGAATTCTTGATTTGAGCATACACAAAGCAAAGCTTTCAGAGTTATTGCTTACCCATGCATGCTTAATGTCTATCTGTTTTTGTTTAGTGTTTGTGAGTTCAGTGTTTTAGGCCTGACAGGGGCACAAAGTGGGTCACAACATTATCCACTGTGTCATTACTCCCTATGGAACAAACAGAGAGGAAGAGAGGGATCGAGTGAGCCCAGAGGAAGAGAAGGGATGAGAGGCCGTGAGAAAGAGCGAGGTCATGCTCTGTGCCAGGCTTACTTAAATTAAACATGACTTAGGAATATATAATAAAATGAATAGTTTATTAATTAAGAATTTAAACATTGACTAAATCTATACTGTAGTCTTTAATGTAGTTGTTGTTGAATTCTTGATTTGTATTCTTGGTGGCACTGAATATAAATGACAGAGAGGCTCACAATATTAGTGAGACTGCAGTTTATTTATTTATGAGAACCCCTGTATATTTTGATCTGTCATCCCTTGAGTCTTGAAGTGATTACCGTATGCATGCATGTGGCATGACTGTGGAATGGTTTTCATGCAGCACTGCAGTTCTCACCAACAAGTCAATAATCACAAAACAGCTACAATACAGCCCATGTGTGAGTCAGAAAGCAAGACCCAACTTGTTCAAAATACTATATTTCTCCTCATAATAAAATCGTTTGCTACCGTCTATTATATGCTATTTATAATAATAAATCATTCGGAATAAAGTGATTCTTTGGAAAAAATTATTGTTTAGCATCTGTATTCTCTTTACACATGATGTGATTATTACATTTCTTTCCATGAATCCCCGTTAACAGGCTGGAAATCCAAGACTCAAAAGAAGTTAATAA